CCGCATTTCAACACGGCCGCTGCTGTGAGCAGGACATCGTGCTTCCGTCGTGGCGAAGGCCCGAGGCGATGGGTGCGTCGCCCTATTTGCGCCGCAGCAGCGGCGGCGGCGGCGGCGACGGCGGCGGCGGCGACGGCGGAGGGTCGGGACGCGATTTGCTCTTCTACTTCAACGGCAATTTGGGCGGCACTTCGCAGTTTGAAAACTACTCGTTTGGAGTGCGGCAACAGCTGCGGCGGGAGTACGGCCACTTGGCAGCTCGCGCGCAGAGGTTTGCCGACGGCGGCGCGAGCGGCGGCGGCGGCGTGCCGTATGGCGAGCGGGTCATCGTGACGGACGTCAAGACGCCGCGCTATTCGGAGAGACGCTCCCGCCGCGCGCTGTATGCATCATTCCCCATGATCAATTGTTGCGCATGATTGGTTCACAGGAGATGCTTTCTCGGTCGACCTTCTGCGGCGTCGTGCCCGGCTGGGGAAACGGGTCGTGCCTCGAGCCTTCCGTTAGCCTTCTCGGAGCCTTCCCTCGCGTAGGGGTGATGCCTGGCTGGGGCTGGTCGGGCCGGTTCGAGGACGCGGTGCTGCACGGCTGCATCCCCGTCCTTCTGCAGGTCCATGCTTGCCTAGATCAATTACACGGAGATTGGCGAGTGCATCCCCCTTTCTCGCCGAGACATCCACACCGAGGCGGTGGCATTCCTCAGCCATGATCAATGAATGCTCATCAGGACGGCATCCACACGCCCTTCGAGACGGTCCTTGACTGGCGGTCCTACGCCGTGCGCGTGCCCCGCGACCAGATCGGAGGCATGCGGCGGAGGCTGCTCGAGCTCTCGCCGCCGGCCGTGCAGGCGATGCAGCTGCGACTGAGCCAGGTGTGGCGCCGCTTCACGTACGGGAGTGTCGTCGCAGCGGAGCGCGCGCGCGCGGCGGCTGCCGGCCGGCCGCAGGGCCCGGGTGCTGCTCTCGCGGCGCACGGGGCGGACGACGCCGTCGCAACGCTGCTCGCCGAGCTGGCGGGCCGGCTGCGGCTGCGGCGGGCGAGGAGGCGCGCGGCGGCTCGCCGCGCTCGCCGCGAGCCGCGCGGCGGGCGGGAGGAGCCCTTTGTGGGCGCGGCGGCGGCGACGCGCGCGGCGGCGGTCGAGCCTCCGCCCGGGTGCGAGGCCCGCGAGTATGGCGACGAGAGCCCGGCGCTATCGGACAAGGCGCTGGCGGCGCTGCCGGGCAGCGTGATGCGGCGCGATTTTGAGGGCCGCTCAGTGAATGGGTGGGCCATCTAAGGTTTATTTTCGCTGTATGAGCAGAGGCGGCAGCTAAGCAAACATAAAATGCGACCGCATTGTGATTTGTGTGACACTCCAGGGGAGACTGCAGACTGAGACTCCACTGAAAAACGCAAAACTCCACTCCACACCCGGCTCGCTCGAGCGGGGAGCGTTTAGCGACGACGAGGTGGAGGTCGTGCGTCATGAAAGCCGCGCCTGCGGTCGCCTCGATCGTCGTAGCGGACGCCTCGATCCCAGGACTCGCCGCGGCCGAATCCACCCCCGCGATCACCGCGGCCACCGCGGTCACCACGGTCAACTTGCCTGCCGCCTGGCATGCCTCCGCCGGCGCCGCCGCCATAGCCCTTCCCTGGCCCACCGCCATACCGTTCGCGGTCGTCGAGGCGCGGGGGCCGGCCGCGATCGACATCGTAGCGCACACCTTCGCGCGGAGCGCCAAACCCACCGCCACCTCCGCCGTGGTAAGGCGCTCGGTCGCCGTGGTGAGGCGGAGGTGCTGAGCGGCCAGCATGGCGGCCGTGATCGCCGTGGCGTGGCGGCGGGCCACGCCCCTGCGACGGTGGTGGGCGAACGCTATGGCTACGGCCACCACCGCTGGCGTCCTCCCCGCCCCAACCCCAGGGAGAAGTGGATCGCGTGGAGGTAGAGTCAGAAGGAGGAGGCCTCGGACGAGACGCGTCAGAAGGGGCGGCGGACTCGGAAAGCCTTCGCTTTGGTGGGACACGGGAGATGGGTGCCGAGTTGCTCCGTGGCGAGCCGTGGTGAACCCCGGGCCTTGAGGGGGCCGATGGAGCGGCAGTGGCGGCAGCGGCTGGGACAAGGCCTGGCGAGGCGGGAGCTGCGAGTGCGGCGGCGGCGGCTGCGGGTGACGCCGCCAGTCGTGAGGACAAGGGAAGGTTGTCGCTTTCCGAGTCGTCCTCTTGATGCGATGAGAGCTGTCGCCGTAGCACATCCTCGTCCTCCGAGTCGAGCTCGACCATCTTTCTCCACTGCGCAGCCTGGCCACCGGCACCGGCTCCAGGGGACGCTGAGGCGGCGGTGGGGGCAGATGCCGAGGAAGAGGCGACGGCAGCGACGTTAAGACTGGTGGAAGGATCCGAAGCTGATAAGGGTAGAGCGGACATGTCAACACACGTGATCT